TCCCATCTTTCCGTGGTGTTTCCAGAACTGGATCGACCTGCGAGGGCCCCAGGGCCGAAAAGCCGTCCGAAGGCGCCCGGGGCGTGACAGGAAGATGCAGCGCCCGGATCTCGGGGCTGCACGCTGAGACTCCCGCGTTGGGCCGCAGCCCAAGCCCAACTTCCTCCTCCTCCTCCTCCTCCATCTCCTCCTCCTCCTCCTCCTCCTCTCTCCTCCTCCTCCCCTCCCTCCTCCCCTCCCCCTCCCTCCTCCCCCCTTCCCCCTCCACCTCCTCCCCCTCCTCATCTCTCTCCCCTCCCCTCCACCTCCTCCTCCTCCGCCTCCTCCTCCTCCTCCTCCTCCTCCTCCTCCTCCTCCTCCTCCTCCTCCTCCTCCTCCTCCTCCTCCTCGGGTCGCCTACGGCCCCGGGGGAAACCGTGCACTTACGGCTCTTCAAGGGAGAGGCGGAGGAGAGCGGCGCCGCGTTGGGCCCCAGCCCCAGCCCAGCTGGGTCCAGAATCATCCAAACTCGACCCTGGAGCACGTCGAACACGGCGTCGAAAGGTGCATGCTGAGACAGGCTCCAGACGGGCCCGCCTGCAGCGCCAACGAGGAGGGCTGCGAGGTGGTCCCCGTCATGCCGAAGGGCCCCAGGGCCCGAAACGGGGCGAACACGCCCAGCATGAACAAAATGCAACGCTCACTCTTGGTCCGTCTTGGGGCCCTCTTGGGGCCCTCCCGAAGCCTCTGGGGCTGTCTTGGGACGATGTCAGGGACATCCTGAGCCGGCTGTTGGAAGCCCGAGCTGGCCAGAGCGCGCAAACCATTCCCCAAACCAAAGTAGAGAGCAGAAAATCCACCCCCAGAATAAGCGCCCCGACAAGCGAAGCCGTGTAGTAAACGCACCCAAAGAAGAAATCGAACAGGGCAGGGCTGTTTCGTAAACGCCCAGGGCCGTTTAGTAAACGCCAATTGTCGGGGTCGGGGTGGCTTTTCCTCCCTTGACGAAGGGCAATCATGAAGGTTTGCCTCCTGGGGCCTGCAGCGCCAGCGAGAAGTGCTGCGAGTTGGCCCCCGCCGCGCTGAAGGGCGGCCAGGCCGCCAGCAGCCCCTCCAGCCAGTGGCACAGGCCGCTGACCGTGACGCGCGGGAGCCCAGCCTCGGGACCAACGGGACTCCTGAAGTAGACGAGCGCGTTGCACTGCTCGCAAAGTAGCTACTCGCAAATCGACTGGGTCCGTCGCGGGGGATCTACGAGAAGTTATATCAAGGCAGACACGTGTTTTTCGGGCGTTTGCGAGTAGGCATATTGCGAGTAGTGGAACGCGCTCGGCGTTGAAGGAAAAAGAAGAACTGGAATCTTCGCGCGCCAAGAATGTTCTGGCGTGCTCGTCGGTTCCAGAAAGTTGTTCTAGCCTCTGGAGCCAGGGGTCCCGAAGCTGTGCAGTGACAAACCGCGCGGTGACTTCGAAATCCCAAGATACCTCACCGCATTGACCCCGAAATCCCGCCGTTCGGGGGCCCCCGACTGATGCTCCCCCTGCTGTCCCTTGACTCGCGCTGGGAATCTCTGTTGGTGGCGAGCGAGGGGGGAAGTGAGAAGGAGGAGCCCTTCACAAAGGCGGCGGGGCTTCTCAGAAGCCCTCTGGCCTTCTGATAAGTTTTCTGCATTTTCGGCAGAGGTTCAGAAAACTTCTCAGAAGGCAGGGGGACTTCCGAGACTTCTGAGAAGGCCCGCCCCTTCTCACTTCTCCCCCTCGCTCGCCGCCGATTTTGGATTCTGGATCCGTCTCGGCTGATCCAGCCTTGCCTCGGTCTGCCTGGCTTCCCAGACATGCGACGCCATGACGTCTTGAACACGCTGTCTCTGGACTCTTTTCGAGGGGGACGGAAGTGTAGGATAGCAAAGAGTAAGGTAGAGAATCAGCTCACGTAGCTGGTTTTCCTAGCATTTCCTGGCGCCAGAGGGCAACCCATGCATCGAGGAGTGAACCCAGCGGCGGGGCCGACACCAGCTGCATGCAGCAGATGTTGCTACCACCCATTTCTCTATCCTACCCTTCCGTCGGGCCCGACTGGTTCCCGAGAGCTGGCCTGCCATCCGCCATCCCGAGTCGTTGTGTTGATGGCCCCGAGGCCCGGCGAAGGCCCCCGAGAGGCCCAAAACGGCCAAAGACCTCGCGCCGCGTTTTTGTTGCTCACGGTGAGAGCAGGTGTTGGTTGATCCCCACAGGTCGATTGGCGAAAAGCCGCAGGGCCCTCACAAGGGAGGCTTCGAAGGACGTGCGAGCCCAACCACGTACATGAATACGGCCACGCAGTCCGCGAGACCAGCCTCACAATACGAACGTTCGCGCAGTGCGTACTTTCGAAACCAACCTGGGCTCATGTACGCGTACGTCGCCCTTTCGCTCCTGACTTCAGGGAGGGGCATAAGGGGAGATAGGGATATAGGGGGGAAACATCTACCTGGAATCGACGATACATCGCCGATAGATCGACGACAGGCCCCCGACAGTGAATCCAGACGCTCCTGGGCAGGTTGGGGCTCTCGGGTCCCCATCGGCAATCAGTGGGCGATTGGGGGTCGATGTCGATGCCTCTCCCCAGAGGCCCATCCTCCCCTCTCGTTGCCCCAGGGACCCGTGGAGGGCGTCGAGCTCCGACGCGGGCCCGTGCGCGTGCGTGTGCGCCCTTCCTCTGCTCCCGACCTCGGGGGCCCGCGGGGGGGGGGGGCGTCGGGCTCCGCCGCGGGCTCCGACGCGGAGCGGGCGCCCCCGCGGAGGCGTGCGGAGGGCGGCGCCTGGCCCGAGAGACAGCCTCAAAGCCTGCGCCGCGGGGGGCGCAGGCACGCAGGCCGCTGGTAGACGTCCCCGCCATCCGGGGGCGAACGGAGGAGCGATGTGTACCTCCCGGCGCCCCCCCTTCCCGTGGGGTGTGCGGAAGCCAGCGCCTGGCCCGAGACATCCTCACAATATCTGCTCCGAGGGCGGAGGACTCTGGGCACGCGAACGCGCAACCCGCTCGAGACAGCCCCGCAATCTGGGCGCGAACGGAGGAGTAAGATACCCCCTGGCGCCCCCCCACTGGGGGTGCTGAAACCAGCGCCTCGCCCGAGACATCCTCAAAATCTGCTCCGTCGTCTTCTTATTTTAATTATTCTACTTCTTAGTATTATTATTATTATTATAAGTATTACTATCATTATTATTATCATTATTATTACTCTTATTATTATGAGTCTTCTTCTTATTCTTATTATCATTATTCTTCTTCATCATCACCATCATCATCATCAGCAGCAGCATCATCATCAGCATCAGCATCATCATCATCATCATCAGTAGCATCAGCATCAGCCTCAGCATCATCAACAGCATCATCATCAGCGTCATCATCAGCAGCATCATCATCAGCAGCATCATCATCACCATCATCAGCATCACCATCACCATCGTCAAATCCCTCCTCCCCATCAGCAGCACCATCACCATCAGCAGTATCGTCACCATCACCATCAGCATCAGCAGCATCATCATCAGCATCATCATCATCACCAACAACATATCATAACCTAAGTAGTGGCCCTGAGTGTGGCTCTATGTGACACCGAGTAGTGATGAGGAGGAGGAGAAGACGGAGGAGGAGGTGGGTGTTCAGGCGTCCTCGGCGCGGTGAGAGTAATTATTCACTGCGCGGAGAGATGTGCATCTATTGGCATGGACCTGTCCGCCATGAGTCTCTAGTCGCAAGAGGGTTCGAATATGAACGGGCTTGAGTAGTGACGGTCTGGGAGCGAATCTAACTGTGGATGAGTTGGAGTGTGAATGAATCTCAGTAGTACGAGCGCGTCTCTGCGCATGAGCCTGGGGCCTCCTGGGGCCTCCTGAAGCCTCCTGGGGTTTCCTGGGGCCTCCTTTAGCCCCTGAGGGCCTCCTGGGGCCTCTTGGGGCTTCCTGTGGCATCCTGATGCCACCTGGAGCCACCTGGACCTGGGGTCTCCTGGGGAAGAGTCGTGCCCCAGGAGAGACACAATATATTGGAACAGACGTACATAAAACGCTGCGGAGTGGAGCCGGAGCAGAAGGGCAATATACAGGAACACGCGCAAAAAAAACAAGAACTCGTGCACAAATGGGAGACCCAAACTATAGGGGCATTCGTAAAACACTTAGGCTTGGATACGCAGGAGAAGGACAGTCTATAGAAACATGCGTAGCACACCAAGGATTCGTGCTCCAAGTGAAGCCCAATCTATAGGAGCATACGTTGAGCACATGGGATTGGAGCCACTCCTGTGGCCTTCTGATGCCTCCTGCTCCTGGGGCCTCTTGGGGCCTCCTGGACTCTCTTGGGGCCACGCCTCCTAGAGCCTCTTGGGGCCTCCTGTGGCCTCCTGAAGAAGATCCGTGCCCACGAGTCTGACCAGCAAAATAAGCAAACCGCTCGAGACATCCTCAATTTCTGGCACCACCTGTGGGGCGAAAATGAGCGTCTCGCTCGAGACATCCTCCAAATCTGCTTCAAAAGCGGAGGATGTCAGGCACCAAAACAGGCAAACTGCTCGAGGCATTCCCGCCCTTTTGGCGCGAACGGAGGAGTGAGATACCCCCTGGCGGCTCCCCGTTGGGGGTGCTGAAATCCGCGCCTCGCCCGAGACATCCTCAGAAGTTAATCCGCTAGTATTATTAGTAGCATCATCATCATCATCATCATCATCATCATCATCATCATCATCATCATCAGCATCAGCATCAGCATCAGCATCAGCATCAGCATCACCATCACCATCACCATCACCATCACCATCACCATCACCATCACCATCACCATCACCACCATCATCATCATCATCATCAGCAGCATCAGCATCAGCATCAGCATCAGCATCGTCGTCGTCATCGCAATCGTCATCATCATCAGCAGCATCATCACCATCATCATCAGCAGCAGCATCAGCATCAGCATCAGCATCAGCATCATCACCATCACCATCACCACCACGACCATCATTATCATCAGCATCATCGTCATCAGCACATGATCACTATCGCCAGAGAGCATACCATACCATAACACAACAGATCATACCATACCATACCAGAGCATGACATATCATAAAATAAAATGATGCACCATGACATACAATAACATAGCATAACATAACATGTCGTGACATAACATGAGAAGGAGGAGGAGGAGGATAGAGCTCGGAGCGGTCGGAGTAATAACAAGAACCCCATCCTTCGGATGTGGGGAATAGCAAGAACTCCATCCTTTGGACATGGGGAAGAACCAGAACCCTATATTCAGGAGATGGGGAACCATAATCCCATCTTTGGATATTGGGAACATGCACTAAGGTGCACATGGCCGTGCTCTCACCCCCGGCTAGTCCTCACTATGGCCGACCTCCTACTCCTCGACCCGCCTCTTCACCTTTGCTGCTGTCAGGGCTCTCTGCTGTGCAATCCCCTGTGACCTCGACAGAGAATCTATCTCGAAGAAAAAACACATAAACAGAAACTTCCGACGGTCCGCGCGGATTTCTTGGACTTGCGCTGGGCCCCCCTCCCTGGCGAAGCGCGCCAGGGGCGGCGCCGGAGGCGCCCACAAGGGGCCCCAGCGCAGATCCAAGAAATCCGCGTGGAGCATCGAAAGTTTATGTTTCTGTGCTTTCTCCTTCCTCGAACATTCGTGTCGTTCTTGTTCCCTCCCGGTCTCCGCGGCTGCTCGGTGATGGGCCGCATCCAGCTCTCGCCCCGCTCCTCGCCCGTGGCGCGGAACCGCCTGGCGTAGGGCCGCATCGTCCGGCTGGTGCCGAACATCACCTCGAGCTCCTGCTGGGGCGGCGCGCAGAAGCAAGGGCTCCCAACTTCGCGCTTCGCGCTGCGCGAAGCGCGAAGCGCGAATAACTTCGCGCTCTCGCGCCGCCCTCCCAGAAGGAGAAGAGGAGGACGAGGAGGAGGGGGGGGAGGAACGAGGCCCGCGAAGCGCGAAGCGCGAATAACTTCGCGCCCTCATGGGAGCCCTTGAGAAGACACAGACAAGGTGATGCTGTGACTGCGATCGCCGGAAACCGGCGGCACACCGCCGACGGAGCAGCGACACGCCCCCGATGGCGGGGCCGGCGGGCCGAGATCGGCGACGAGTTGGCAATCGGGGGTCGGTGCCTCCCCCCTCTCTCTTTTTCTCTCTTTCTCTCTCTCTCGAGAGAGAGAGAGAAAGAACAAAAAAAAAAAAAGAGAGAGAGTGTGTGTGTGTGTATGATATACATAGATATAGATATACACATCTACGTGTATATATATATATATATATATATTATCTGAACAAATGCTTGCAACTAAAAAAAATGCATGCTCCTGGTGTTTCTCCAGGGCTTTGGCCTCCGAGAGGGGGGGGAGCCGAACGGAGCCCGCTCCTCCTCTGTGGGCCATGGGCCCCGAGGCCGTCCCAGGAAGGCCCCCAGGTCCTTCCCGAAGAATTCCACAAGGGCCCCGAGACCCCCCTAAGAAAGCGCTCTATGTAAGAGTGCCCGAATGGTGCCCCAAGAGGGCACCCTTCGAACCGCAAGGGGGCCCAAGATGGAGACCCCAAGAGGGCCCCAAGATGGCTCCAGGAGTCCTCCAAAAACATTTCACAACACATGTCCGCAAAGGCCGCCTCCTCATCCTCCGTTTTCTGCGTTCCCGACACGCTTCCACAGCGGCCGTTCCACTGCGTGCTTCTACACTTCCCTCCTTAGGGAAACCCCCCTTGCGATCGTTTCTGGACGGGCTGGTGGGGATATGCGAACCGCCAGTAATTGTCGATTGGGGGTCGATGCCTCCCCCCTCCTCAGACTTCTCTCTAGGGGAAGAAAACAAATACAAACATAAACTGTACGAGCTCCGCGCGGATCTCTTGGGTCAGCGCTGGACCAGCACCGATCCAAGCATCCGCGCGGGACTCCGAAAGTTTATGCTCATCCAGTTTCCTCCTCCTCGGTTCCAGGAAGGCAAGGGGGCGCCGCAGGGAGACGGACGGAGCCATTGGACGCACAGGAAGGCGACGCAGCGACGCCCGAGCAGAGCTGCTGCCGCAGCTCCAGACCGAAGCACGGCCCCGCGGCCGACATCTCCGCGAGACCCTGCGGCACGAGCAGCAGCAGCTCTGGAAGGGCCCGCGGCTCCAGATTGGGCATCTGTGCCGGCGGGCGGGGGGGGAGGGGGGGCGTCTCGGACTGGGCGCCCCCCAACTGGGGCCCGAGCAGATGGGGTCGCGGAGGGTGGCGCCGCATCACCGATGCGTCGCCGATTTACCAGCGATGCTTCGGCGATGTAACGGCGATGCATCGGCGGCGTCGGCGCGGAGCAAAACTCGGGCCCCGCATCGAGCTGCACCGCCGATGCACCGGCCACGCGGCGCGATCCTTTGACCCCGTCTGCTCGGGCCCCTTCTGGGAGGCCTGGAGAGAAGCCCCGCTGCCTCGTTAGAGGGCGGGCGCATATTAAGCTTAGGTCGGGCATGTCCCCCTAGAGGCGGAGTTTGGCGAGAACTAAAAAATAGTAACAACAAAAACAAGAATCGTCCCCATACTATTTCTTGACTACTTTTGAATACATCGCTCCTATAGAGGGACACGCCCGACCTACCATTCAGCCTCCTCGGAAGGCCCGCCCCCCTCACGCGCAACTTCGTGTGACCCAAAAGGGGGTCCAGCGGAAAGGGGGCGGTGCAACAGATCTGGGGCGATTGTATTGCACATGTACTGCGCCGGAGAATCGTATTGCATCGTATTGCAAGTAGTGCAATGCACGCGAAAATCCAGCCGTACATTTGCGCCCCCGAAATGTATTGCACGCCCCAGATGTATTGCACCCCCATAAGTCTATTGCACCAAGTCTACTGCACCGCCCCCTTGTCGCTGGACCCCCTTTTGCAACCCCGCCTCCCGCCCAGCGCGCCGCGGCTCCTCGCCGAACCTCTCGAGGCACAGCTCAAAGGTGTCCACCGCCCCCACCACCTCCAGCAGCGTGAAGGCGTGGTGCAGGGCCTGGACCGATGATCCTCAGAGCGTGTGCCTGGGTGACCCCAAAGGAGGTCCAGCGGCAAGGGGGCGGTGCAACAGATCTGGGGCATTGCATCGTATTGCCAGTAATGTATTGCACGTGCAAATCCAGCAGTACATTTGCGCCCCCGAATGTATTGCACGCCCCAAATGTATTGCAACCCCATAAACCGATTGCACCAAATCTGTTGCACCACCCTTGTCGCTGGACCCTCTTTTGGGTCAACCCGAAACGTGTGTTTGTTCATCGACGCCCTTCGATACGACGCAGGCGATGTAATGATCTACTGGTTGGGCTGACGGGGGTAAACACACATTGGGCTAACACGCGTCCTGAAGATCATCGACTGGAGGAGCCACAGACGGCACAGGCACAAACTCGTGGACCTCCGCGCGGATTTCTTGGATCTGCCCCAAAACCCCAGACATCCAACGCATTGAAAAAAACGATGCGACAAGGTGTCGTCGTTTTGGGCCTCCGGGGGCCCTCGCTGGGCCCGGGACCGTCACCAAACGACTCAGAATACTAAGCTGGTCTTGGGGAAAGAGTCGGGACTCCCGGGAAGCCCGTCTTGAAACCCTCTCCCTGGCGTGCGGAGTCCCAGACATGCGACGGCTTGAGTTGTTCAATACGGGGTCCCCGTTCCTCAGGACCAGCTTTGCATCCTGAGCGGCTCCCCAGGACCAGCTTTGCGTCCTGAGCTGTTTTTGCCTGCCATGGGGCCCGGCGAGGGCCTCGAGAGGCCGAAAACTACGAAAAACTCGGGTGCCAATGCACATCCATGCAATCCTCGCGGGGGTCCGAAAAATGGTGTACGCCGTTGGTTTCTCCTTCGAGATTCGGGATCTGAAGAAAGTCTCGAAGAAAGTCTGGTCTGGTCAGCGTTCGGGTCGGCCGAGCGCGTCTGGCTGATGACCAGGAGGCCCGAGCACCGACCCCCCTTTATGTGGCCATGATGTGGGGCGAAAGTTTGGGTGGGACCAGCCCAGGGGGGAATCGGAATCGGAATCGGCCTTGCCAGGGTGAGCCGCGAGGGCCCGGCAAGTTGGCACCGGGGCGCCAGCCACATGTGAAACATGGACGACGGCGGAAAGAAAACGACGCCTGGCCGCACAGTTGCGTCGGTCTGCGCGGCAGCCGGGTCAGAGGAGGAGGAGGAGGAGGAGGAGGAGGGGGGAGGGGAAACATCGAGCTCGAGTCGGCGACACATCGCCGATACATCGGCGATAGGCCCCCGATGGCGAGTCCGAACGTTCCTGGGCGGCGTGGGCTCTCGGGCCCCTATATTATTAGGTCGGGCCTGTCCCCCTACTGGGGGATTCAGGACGAAAAATCCAAAATAGTCAAAAAACTACCCCAAAATTATTCACTGCGTGGAGCTCCCCATATGTGCATCTACTCGCATGGACCTGTCCGCCGTGAATGTCTAGGCGCGAGAGCTTTCGAATATTAACAGGCTTCAGTTGTGACGGTCTGGACATCAATCTAACTGCGAATGAATTGGAGTGTGAATGAGCCTCAGTAGTACGAGCGCGTCTCTGTGCATGAGCCTGGGGCCTCCTGGGGCCTCCTGAAACCTACTGGGGCTTCCTGGGGTCTCCAGGAGCCTCTTGGGACCTCCTGGGACCTCCTAGGAAGGTTTCGTGCCCCAGGAGAGGCGCAATCTATAGCAACAGACGTACATAAAACATTGCGGATTAGAGCCACAGGAGAAGGGCAATCTATAGGAACACGCGTAAAACACCAAGGACTCGTGCCCCAGGAGAGGCCCAATACATAGGAACATGAGTAAAACATTTAGGATTGTGTACACAGGAGAAGGACCATCTATAGAAACATACGTAGAACATCAAAGAATCGTGCTCCAGGTGAGGCCCAATCGATAGGAGCATACGTAAAACACATGGGATTGGAGCCACTCCTGTTGCCTTCTGAGGCCTCCTGCTCCTGGGGCCTCTCGGGGCCTCCTGTTGCCTTCCGAGGCCTCCTGGCGCTTCCTGTTGCCTCCTGGGGCCTCCTGTGGTTTCCTGAGGCCTTCTGGAGCTTCCTGGGGCCTCCTGGAGCCTCTTGGGACATCCTGTGGCCTCTTGAGTCTTTCTGTGGCCTCCTGATGCCTCCTGGTACCTCATGTGGTCTCCTGGGGCCTCCTGGAGTCTGGCCCACCTGGGGGGTGAAAATTAGCGCCTCGCTCGAGACATCCTCCAAATCTGCTCCGAAAGCGAAGGATTTTGGGCCCAGAAACAAGCAAACCGCCTGAGACATCCCCACAAAATGGCCGCGAACGAGCCCGTGCAACCACCCCTGGCGGCTCCCCTTAGGGCCACGAGCCTGGCCACCAAAACAAGCAAACCGATCGAGACATCCTCAAAGTCTGGCCCACCTGGGGGGTGAAAATGAGCGCCTCGCTCGAGACATCCTCCAAATCTGCTCCGAAAGCGAAGGATGTTGGGCACAGAAACAAGCAAACCGCCTGAGACATCCCCACAAAATGGCCGCGAACGAGCCCGTGCAACCACCCCTGGCGGCTCCCCTTAGGGCCACGAGCCTGGCCACCAAAACAAGCAAACCGATCGAGACATCCTCAAAATCTGGCCCACCTGGGGGGTGAAAATGAGCGCCTCGCTCGAGACATCCTCCAAATCTGCTCCGAAAGCGAAGGATGTTGGCCCAGAAACAAGCAAACCGCCTGAGACATCCCCACAAAATGGCCGCGAACGAGCCCGTGCAACCACCCCTGGCGGCTCCCCTTAGGGCCACGAGCCTGGCCACCAAAACAAGCAAACCGATCGAGACATCCTCAAAATCTGGCCCACCTGGGGGGTGAAAATGAGCGCCTCGCTCGAGACATCCTCCAAATCTGCTCCGAAAGCGAAGGATGTTGGCAAGACAAACAGGCAAACCGCCTGAGACATCCCCACAAAACGGCCGCGAACGGGACCGTGCAACACCCCTCGGCGGCTCCCCTTAGGGCCACGAGCCTGGCCACCAAAACAAGCAAACCGATCGAGACATCCTCAAAATCTGGCCCACCTGGGGGGTGAAAATGAGCGCCTCGCTCGAGACATCCTCCAAATCTGCTCCGAAAGCGAAGGATGTTGGCAAGACAAACAGGCAAACCGCCTGAGACATCCCCACAAAACGGCCGCGAACGGGACCGTGCAACACCCCTCGGCGGCTCCCCTTAGGGGTGCTGAAACCAGCGCCCCGCCTGAGACATCCTCGCAATCTGCTGTTTATCGAATAAGTCAGACAATGAGAAGGTCTGAGTATGAGTAATTCTGAGTATGAGTAAGTCTGTGTATGAGGAACTCTGAGTAAAAGGAGGAGGAGAAGGAGGAAGTCTGAGTATGAGTAAGTCTGAGTATGAGTAGGTCTGGGTATGAGTAGGTCTGAGTATGAGTAAGTTAATGTGATCAGGTCTGAGTATGAGTGAGTCTGTGTATGAGTAAGTCTGTGTATGAGTAAGTCTGTGTATGAGTGAATCTGAGTATGAGTGAGTCTAAGTAGGAGGAGACGAGAAGAGGGGAGGAGGAGAAGAAGAAGGAGTAGGAGGCGTCCAAGTAATAACAAGAACCCCATCTTAGGATATGGGGAAATATCCAAAAATACTCAAAACATCGTCCCCAGACTATTTGTTGACTATTGTTGAACATTCTCCCTGTAGAGGGACAGGCCCGACTTAACCCTATCAGCGATGCGTGGGCGATTGGGGCCCAAACGTTGCCCCTGGCCCTGAGGCGGTTCTTCCACGGCCGACTGTTCGGGTCAGTGCTCGGGCGGCCCTGCTGGCGCTGAAGCAACCCACAAGGAGGAGGAGGAGGAGGAGGAGGAGGAGGAGGAGGAGGCTGACAGGACTGTTTGAGGCAGCTTTTTTCGGATTCTGGCAAGTGTACTTGCACGGAGGAAGGGAGGGCTGAGTGGCGAGGCCCGGAAGGAAAGCAGGACTGCACGCAAGCCGAGACTCACTTGCAAGCCTCTTCGGCCCGGCGCTAGTTAGAGGCCTCCTGGATGGGGTCGGCGTAGATGGGGTCGGGGGATCACGCCGCATCGCCGATACATCGGCGATGCACTGGCGATACATTGTCGACGTCGGCAATGCATCGGCGCCGTCGACGCGAAGCAGATCGGACTGCACATCGAGCCGCATCGGCGATGCATCGACGATGCGGCACGATCCCCCGACCCCATCTACTCCGACCCCATCCAGGAGGCCCAGACAATCTGAAATGGCGGTGGAGAAGGCGGGCCTCCTCCTCCTCCTCCTCCTCCTCCTCCTCCTCCTCCTCCTCCCCCCTCCTCCTCCTCCTCCTCCTCCTCCTCCTCCTCCCGATGCAAATACGCCTGACAGAAGCTAAATGGAACACGCTCCATTGATCCCCGCGATGGCCCTCGGTTGCGCCAGCGGGCAGGCACTGGCGCCGGGGAGGTGGTGGCGGAGCTCCCTGCACGCCACGATGGCGTCGCTGC